GCGCAGCCCGGCGAGGTCGAGGAAGGTCGGCGCGAAGTCGACGTTGCAGACGATGTCGTCGCAGACGGAGCCCGCCCGGATCTCGCGCGGGTGGCGCGCCAGGAAGGGCATCTGGAAGCTCTCCTCGTACATGAACCGCTTGTCGAACCAGCCGTGCTCGCCGAGGAAGAAGCCCTGGTCCGAGGTGTAGACGACGAGCGTGTCGTCCGCCAGGCCCGCGGCGTCGAGCCAGTCGAGCAGCCGGCCCACGCCGTCGTCGACGCTCTGGATCGTGCGCAGGTAGCGCTGCATGTAGCGCTGGAACTTCCACTCGGCGAGCTCGGCCGGGGTTTGGAAGGTGAACACCGTCCCGTCGTCCTTGTCGATGAGCCTCAGCCCCGTCACGTCCGCGGGGGCCGGGATCTTGCGGTCCGTCCACCACCACGCGTCGATCATCTTCTCGCCCACGTTGCGGCTACCGCCGTCCGGCTGCACGACGCCCAGGTCGAAGTACGTGAGGTCTTCGGCCGCGCGCATCTTGGCCACCTTGGCGGCCTTCGCGCGGTTCTTGTAGTCGTCGGTGAACGTGTCCGGAAGCTTCACGGGGTCTTTGTATAGGCCCTTATGTTTCTCATCGCACTCCCAGCTCCGATGCGGAGCTTTATGGTGGCACATGAGGAAGAATGGCTTTTTCGTATCCCTGTCCTTCAGCCAGTCGAGACACTTATCGGTGATGATGTCGGTCGCATAGCCGGGGACCCTGTGCGTGCCACCCGGCTCGATGAACTCCGGGTCCCAGTACTCGCCTTGGCCCGGCACGACACTCCAGTAGTCGAATCCGCTGGGCTCATGCTCTACGCCCTCGCCCAAATGCCACTTGCCCACCATGGCGGTCTGGTAGCCGCCCGTCCTCATGTGCTTCGCAACATTGGGCATACGCTTGTTGACTTTGGACGAGAGTGTCAACACGCCGTTGACATGGTTGTGGGTGCCATGCAGGATGGCAGCACGCGACGGCGTACAGATGCTGTTGGTGACGTAGCAGTGGTTGAAAAGCATCCCCTCCTTTGCCAAGCGATCGATATTCGGCGTGTGGTTGATACCGGCGCCATAGCAAGAAATGGCTTTGGACGCATGATCATCGGCCATGATGAACATGATGTTCGGTCGCGTTAGGGACGCCATCGTAGAAGCGGCAGATCGACAAAGACAGGGGTGGGCTGGCGGATACTTGAACGCGAGCTTGCAAGGCCTTGACGGGCCCTATTTTCAACGATAATTACACAGCAAAAGCCACGACAATGGGGACGACCAAATAGATGGCGGGATGAGGTGAAGAGCGCGAGGAATAGCAGAGCAGAGGAGGGGGGCGGGCAGCGGCTTGATACTGTACGAAGCGCAATCTGCTGTTTTCATGGCGTGCCTGCGTGCCTGATCAGGCCGAACCTCCTTTCGTTTGGTTACCATGACTGCAGCCGATGTGCCGTTCACATGGAAAGCATTAGGAAATACGAGGAATTCCCGAGTTGCAATCAGGGCGATATAGGGTGGGTATCGCCGGCGGGGCCGGAGGTCGGAGCTGCAGGCCACGGGAAGTCGGGGCACCTTACACCCATCTCCACTCGGGACTCGGTCTTCGGCGCTGGCAGCTGCCCAGGAGTGTTGACAGCCTTGGCGTCTAGGAATTCGGGGTTATGAGATTGGAACCTCTATAAAAAGTCAAGATTGAGGGTGACTCATAAGACTGAAAAAGCTGTTCGCCGAAAGCGGATTACCGCGAGCTGCGTAAAGTCCTTCGGAACTCGGTGGTGGGCGTCCCTCTGGATATCCTTGGCATTGCATGCCACTATTCGGCCTAGCAGCCGAGCAGACCGGGACTGGAAAAAGCCAAGAGTGAAGACTTTTCTTCTAGATCATCTCGTTCGTGAGTGTCACGGTAGTGATGCGGTGTAGGGTGACAGTGGCGGGTCAGTGTTACTTCTAAATCATGAAAAGTTGCTGTATCGGGTAGATGTCCAGACGTCTCATTGGCCAGTCTCTGCATGAGGCGTCAGGCCAATAGCCAGCCACGCCAGCCAGGTAAGCACTTTCGTTCAAGCTCGGTATCGGACCCAAGACCCGGGAACAGACCATGGGGTTAAGAGGTAGGTAAGCAGGGAAGTATCCATTGGAACAAGGAACTTTGTATCTTCAAGTCTTGCAAAACCGGTAAGCAATCAGCAGCATCGTTCGGGCCAGCGAGGATGATCACGACGCTATGTTAGAGTCTCGTGTGTAGAGCCCCTGCAGTGAAAGTGCCGCTGCTGCAGTTACCGGTACGGTGGTACAGCAGTCTGCTGCTACTCTGCTCAGTGCCGGCGGCTGCTGGTGCAGAGCGGCGGGAATGGAAGGCTGTCGGCGTGGCGGGGGACGACACGGGAGGCTCTCGGCCCCGGAGGTCCGCTAAATAGACTTCGGCCCAGCTGCGGCTGCTGCTCGTCGTTGGTCACCGTAGCCGCCAACCCTCCGATCTCGTTTCCACAGTCCAGGCTTCGGTGGGTACTTCTTACGCATGTACGTCGTACAGAGAAGAAGAGAGCCAACTCCTGCAATCCCCCAGGCGCGTCCTCTACTAGTAGTACTGGCAGATGCTGGCCCGCTGTGAGATCACCAATATGTCGACGCGATAGATAGAGTTCACAGACCGCCGCGGTCCTCCGTGGTCCGGAGGCGGTTGTCGGGCCAGGACAGCCGCCTTGTCTTTCCCAGCTTCCATGCTGCTGGCTGCGCCACCTGCCTCCCGAGCCGGCTCGGGCTCCGCTCCTTTGTCCAATGCCCACCACCCACAGACGGCGGACAGCAGACAGACGTCTCTACTTCGCCAAGAGGCACTTCGTGCCGGCCGCGGACCGTAGACCGTGGACCGTGCCGTCGAGCGAGCCGAGAGCCCTTCATCGGCCCTTGCGGCCTGGATCGTGGGCATTCTCGAAGTTAGAAAAAGTCTCGCAAACGTCTAGTGATCTCTTAGGTTTCCAGTCACCTCCGCCACCTCGAACCTTTTTATCCTGTCATTGTCTCAGCATCTGGAGTCCTCCTGCTCTCATAGTTCCATCGTCCACCGTGTCGTCCGTAGGTACCGGTATCCCGTGGAGTGTGTGGCCGAGAAGAATGTCGGTGTCTCAGCCGCCGCCGCCGCCGCCGCCGCCGCAGCAGCAGCCATTGCCGGCTTCCGCCGCTGTGCCTTTCGCCGTAGAGCAAAAGGAGGACGAGGATGTCCGAAGAGCCGCCGACGATGCGTCCTCGCTAGATCACCCGGCCGATGAAGAGATACCCAAACCAGATTCCTTCGCCTCGCGGGCATGGAGATACCTGACAGAACCCGTTGAAGCCTCGGTCTTTGTCGAATTCGAGCTGGTGCTTCTGACCTTGTGAGTAGAGTCCCACGCGCGGACGAGGTCGTGCTGCCTTGCAGGAGTCTTGCAGGGGCTCGTCATCTCCCATCGTCTGGCTGGAAGGGCCCCTAGTCGTCACTATCCCGTGCGCCGAGACGACGTGATACTGACAAGCGGACCGACCGACAGCTGCACCGGCATCCAGGATGCCATTTCCTTCCCGGACTACCACTGCTTCGCCTCCAACCAGACCGGCAACACCGTCTTCCTGATGCTCGCCATCGTGCTGCCCGAGCTCAACGGCGAGCAGTTCATCACGGCCAACATCGGCGCCGCGCTCGGCTTCTTCCTGCTGGCCGGCTGGGTGACGGGCCAGGTCAGCCACATCGTCGGCCCGCGCCGCCGCGGCTGGCTCGTCGTCTGCAACCTCCTCCAGACGTGCCTGGTGTTCGCGGCGGCGGTGATCCAGCTGCGGGCCGGCGGCGGCCGCTTCGTCGTCACAGAGCGGGAGGGGACCACCACCACCACCACCACCACGCGGCAGCGGCCGGACCCGAGCGGCCCGGCGGCCGTCGCCGTGGTGGCGCTGCTGGCCTTCGCGTCGGGCAGCCAGGTGGTGCAGTCGCGCAGCCTGAAGATGACCGAGATCAGCACGGCCATGGCGACGGCCGCCTGGGTCGACCTGATGATCGACCCGGGCCTCTTCGGCCTGCGCAACCGCCCGCGCACCCGCCGCGTCTGCTTCCTGCTGACCCTCGCGGCGGGCGCCCTCGTCGGCGCGGGAGTCTACCGCACCGTCGGCTCCGCGCCCGCCATCTTCCTGTCCGCCGCCGGCAAGCTGCTCGTCACCGTGCTCTACCTCTTCAACCGCGCCGAGAGGCCCGACGGCGACGGGAAGAAGAAGACCGCCGGGGACGCCCTGGTCTGAAAAAGGGGTCACCGACCGAGATGAGAGGGAAGAAAAGAGGAAGGTGGGCGGGGAGATGGAGGAATGAACAGAAAGCCAGCACGAGAGAAAGAAAATTGGCATGTCGATCTCGTGAGGCTCTTTCTTGGATGGGTACGCACGGCAGGCTTTTGAGCGCCGACGTTGCCGGCTTAACACATGGCATGGTTAGTAGTCTATTAGAGAGATCCGTGCAGCGGGTGCATTTGTTATTAGCGATGGTGCTTGGGCGGATGATACCACATCGTTAGAGGAGTAGCAAAAGTATTTGTTTTTCACATGCCATGAACGAAATGCCCACACGAGCGAAGCTCTGCATTGATATTACCTGTGTGACATTCCTTCGAGGCGCCGACTAGGATCATGATGACGATGCTGCGGCAATCACTCCCCCACGCGCAGTTGCGAAAATTCAAGACTGCACTCACTGTCAAGAAGGCGGCACTGATGGTCGGCGGCAGACGGCGTCGCTTGGGGTCATTAGGTATCGGCACGGAACTCGCTGATGAATGGAAGCGAAGTCGTCGTTCGAGTACCATTGGTCGAGCTGCGAAGAAAGCTGGCCAATGATATCTCGAAATTTGGTAGGGGGTCTGGGTGTTGTTTGGAGGGAGTCACTGTATGGCTACCCCACTAGACACACCGACAAATAGTGTGTGCTAACCGCACAGATTTTCAACAAGTCAGCCAAGTGACGCACATGAGACACTGTGGCCGAGTGGTTAAGGCGATGGCCTGCTACCTTAGTCCCGACTGGGTAATAGTCAGCCATTGGGTTCGCCCGCGTGAGTTCGAATCTCATCGGTGTCGCTCAATACTCGTGATACACGAGAAGCAACTGTATTTTTTGAATTTCTTGGGCTTGTCGTCCTTCTCGGGTCTTTTTTTTTTTTTTTTTTTTTAATCTCTCCCATCGTACCTATCTGACTGTAATCGGCATCACCTCTTTGCTGCTTGATATGAAATACTTCTGTAATGGCTGGGATTCAAGATCATAAGTTACCCTCGTAGGAAGTAGGTAGACCTACGTACTCGACATCATATATTCTTCGATATTTTGCTGCACGCTGTTTCTTAACGTTCGAACTCCGAGCGCATCGCTCACGCTTGGAAGTACAGACAAGTATTCGCTGGGGTTAAGGATGGATGGATGGCATTCTAAAGGCCACCGGATGACATAGTAGCGGTGGTGGCGATGGTGCTGGCACCGCACTGGTGATAATCGTCGTCGTCTTACCTTTAGAACCTGGTAAGGATTTGATGATAAGATGGCGAAAGAGGCGACATGAGTCCAGTAGAGGATGTATAGTCGGACAGGGAGAATCCGCGGAGTGACGGGAGAGCTACTAGGTACCTCCCGCTCGGGACGGCAGACTCGCCTTCTCGGTCAAAGGACGAGTTGTATAGGAGCTCAGCTCTTGGGAGAGCAGGTGATACGGTGAGAGAGACACAAGAAGCAGCAGCAGCCATGGCCTTCAAGCCAAGACCCCTAGGTACCACAAGACCAGCAGCAACTCCTGTAGTCTCATGCCCATACCCATGCCCATGGCCTACCAGACTACCGCCGAGAGATGGTATATTCGACCGCTGTCGCCAGGCGAGAAGACATGGCGTGCTCAGAACGCGCTTGGATTATACGGTCTCCATGGGCGGCGTGTGTCCGGCTTGTACTGCCGAGGAGCTCGCAGCGAGATGCGACATATCTATTTATCTACCTAGGCAGCTCTTGCATCCTTGCCCTCGGATGTCTCTTACTAGAAACCTCGCTCGACCGTGCAAGGGTTACGACAGTGAGAGTTCTGTCCACGTCTCCCCGAACCCCCCGGGGACGTCGCCAAGATGATCAACTAGGATGTCCGAGTTGTGCAAATCCGATATTCCAAACCGGTCCCTCGCGGGATGCACACCCCAGCGAGGTGTGCGTCTGGTACTCAACTTCCTATGCAGCAAGCAAAGCCATACAGGCGTGTAACACAAATTGGGATCCACCACTCATGACGCGATCAAGAGAAGCCAAGTAAGAAGGTGGCAGAAGCCAGGTTGGTTTGGTATTTAAAAGCTACACCGCTCCTATACATCTCTCTTGAAAGTCTCCTCCCATTCCCTGCGTCCTCTGTAGGAGATGACCGAGGCAAGGGGAGCCCCAACCCCGCCGCCGATTTTCGAGGCTAGGTATACGGCATGCAATTTATCTACAACTAATTTTTCTGGCCTCGTTCCCAAATGGAAAGGCCCGCCCTGGCCCTTCCATTCGCCGAAGCGAAACGCCCAACCGGCCGGCATAGAATGGTATGAGAACGCCCGAAAAGCAGCAGGATGACGCCCCGATGATGTGCCATCATGGCAAGTGTCTGTGAGCCGTCGAAAGGAATTCGACAACGGGTATACGTCCGAGTGCTCTCTCTCTATGTTGGCTGGCCTGGGGGATGTCCATTTCCCGCTGGAAAAACCGGTATGGGCTTGGTCGTTCAACGACGCGGACGTGGTATCGAAAGCAATTTAGACTGGTTTGGTTGGTATCACAATATCTGGGAGATGTGTCGCCTGCCGGCACAAGTCAAGGCCGAGATGACCTCCACGAACGAGGGAGCGTCTTCACGCGAAAATCGCTGGGCCGACTCGACTAGAAGCGCCAGCGCGGCTTCGCCTCTTCGGCCGCCGTGCTCCCCCTCCGGAGCGTCGCCGCGCGGGCACCGGCCGCACTGGGCGCGCGTGTCCCCGCCGCAGCACTGGGCGCGCGCGTTCCCGCGGCGCTCTTGCGACCGGTAGTCGCGGGTGTCTCTCTCGCCTTCGGCTGGGGCAGCATGCTAGTCCGCCGTGGGGTTGCCGTGGCCATGGAGCTGACCGCTCGCTTGGGCTGCTCGGTCGTCGTCTCGTCTTGCGGCCTCGGCACCTGCAGCGAGACCCGCCGGGGGTTGAGCGCTGAGGTCGAGGCCTGCGTCGTGAGCCGCTGCCTCGGCTTGGCTAATGTCTGTTGGGCATAGGGCCCAGGCGAGGCGGCGGATAGCCGTTCGCGAAACGATAGCCGGGAAGACGCGTTTCGCTTGCTTGGCGTATCTTCTGGAATAGGCGACGCGGACCCCCCTCTGCTCAGTGGGCTCCGCAGTGGCAGCTTCGATTCTCGCGAGGCAGGGGTCAAAGCAGAGACAGAACGTACGGAAGTCTGCGTTCTCTTGGCATACGGACTAGGTGTCGTCAGGCTGAGCGGTCTGAAGTTGTGGCCCACATCGGAGTTTCTGGTGTTTACAGAGCCATTCCACCTTGGCTTGTTGTCTCCCACGTCGGAGACTGACTTCGGCAGGCGAGAGCCGAGAGGGGTAGCAGAGCCGCTCCGGGACGGACTGGAGAAGCTCGAGTTGTTCGAGAGAGTAGACAACCGAGAGCCAGGAGTCCGTCGCGACAAAGGCACCCGTCCCGAGCCACTTTTCTTGCTTGAACCGGGTTGCGGACCACTTCCCACACTAGAGGAGCGGGTAGACCTCTTCGCCAAAGGTGTGACCGGGTCGATGCCGAGGTTGTACATGACGACAGACGACGGGGGTGAGCTCCCAGGCGTCTCATTGCCACTGGCGACTGTGGACCTGTCATTCGAGAGCATACTTGAGATGGAGTCGCGCAGCTTTTGGTTGCTCTTGTCGAGCTGAACCTCTTCTAGGGTGGCGTCCAACTCTTTCATCTGCCGCTTCTGCTCATCCCATCTAGATTGGACCTCGGTATGTAGTCTCATGATCTCACCATTGACCGTGAGTCTGTCTTTGACACCCTTGTCAATGATAGAGAGCACGCGCTCGACGGCCGGTCCGTAGTGCGTCTTCTTCGCTTCGTAACTCTCGATCTTCTTGCTCATGACGGCTGGATTCGAGAGTTGGAGGCCCTGGTCAATCCCCTCGCGGAGTTTGGCCATGCTGCGATCCACCGAGTCGGTCATCTTCTGTGCCTGGCGACCAGCTCCCCGGAAGACGAGGACCCATTTGTCCTCCCCGAGTTCTTTACGCAGCGAGTCTGCGTCCTTCTCGAGTTTCTTGTAGCTGGCCTCGAGGCCTGACGTCCTCATCTCGAGCTCGTCACAAGCAGTCGGGAAGGCCTGGGCCGCTCTCGCCTCGAATACCGACAGCCTCATGGGCAGAAAGTCCAGAGACGCTCGGAGAGGTTGCATCCTGGCGAACAGAGCGAGCAAGCTCGAGTCGTCTTGGTTCAGAGCGGGTGGCCCAGGTGAGCCAGGACTGAGGGGAAGAGCCGGCATACTGAATCGGTTCTTGTTGTGCTTGATAGTCGGAGGCGTGTCTTCCACGATGGTCTCCAGGTCACCAATATCGACACCATCGCCACTCGAGACGGCCATGATGGACTTGTGACGTCGTTCCTCCATCTCGAAGACGAGTCGGCCCAACTCATCCATCTCGTTCTGAATATCGCCCAAGACCATGTTCCACAGCTCTTCCCATTCCATGGCGGTATCGACCTGGCCCTTGACCGCGTTCAGAGTTTGGCGGATATTGGTCCATTCGTTAGTGATGGCCTCCATCTGCATGACAGCCCTGGTGAGGTCCTCGCTAGACACATTGACGATGTCTTCGCGGTTCTGGAGCGCCTCGATGGCCGTCACGTATACGTTGATGAGCTCCTCGAACCTCACGATGGCGCTCTCGACCTCCTCGTAGCCCTCTCTACCGCCGGCTGCCGACCACTCGACGTCGTCATCGCTTTCCAAGCCGTCGATGACCTCTGAAGCTTTCGCTATCCAGCTCCGGATCTGCTCAGCGGCGCCAATCAGAGCCTTGGTGGCGGCCTGGGCGGTGGGTATGGCAGCGACCTTGCCGGACAGGAGCTCGGCGTCGGGCAGCTGGAGTGCCGTCAGCTGGGCGAGCTGGTTGACGAAGGATGCGCGCGAGATGGTATAGATGGAGCCCGGGCGCTGAAGGCCGAGCTGGTTGAAGTAGGAGGGCAGGTCCGCAGCGAAGTCAGGCGGAGCGGCATCTTGGGGCGACGGCGTATCTTTCGGCAGAGGGGGCGGCGGTGTGGGATCGTCGGGCGCGGGGGAGAGGGCGTCTCGCTCGAGGTGTGCGTTGCGCGTTTCCAAGGTAGCTTTGGTGCCATTGCCGTTGGTGTGATCGGGTAGGCGGTACTTGTGGGTGTCCATATCCAGCGGCGGCGCGGCTGTGATCTCGGGCAGGAGAAGCGCGGGCGCGGGCTGGCTGCTGGGTTCGGGCGGGCCTGGCTCGTAGGCCTGCTCGTCGTCTCGACGCGGCCCTCTGCCGCGGAAGGAGTCGCGATTCGATCGGGACCGCAGAAGCTGAAGGGGGGCGGTGGCACCCTTCCAGGGGCGGCCGCGTCGTTCGACGATTAGGTCAGTCGAGTTGAGCTGATGGTTGAGGTCGAGGGTCCTCAGCTGCTCCTCGTCGAGTCGCCCAATGCGGTCGGTAGGCAACTGCAGCTGGGGAGAAGACGAGGACCGCTTCTGGGAGGCGGCGCCGAAGCCCAGTGCCTTGAGTCGGGCGGCGAGTCCAGGCGAGGGCTTGCGCGACGGGTAGTGGTTCTGGTGTTGGTGTTGCTGTTGGTGTAGGTGTGGGTGTAGGTGTGGTTCGCTGGCGTTGGGGTCGAAGTGGCTGAGAGGACGTAGCTCGGTCAGTTCGGGCGGCACGTCTGAAAAAGTCAGGACAGTTGGCGGCGGGTCGGCATGGTGGTGAGCTGGCTGGGCTGGCCGGGCTGGCTGATGCCTTGTTCCTGGTTCTAGAATTGTGGAGGTGGCCGGCACGGGAGATTGACGATGGACGTCGCCGTACGGGGCCTGAGGCGGCGAGGGACCAACC